GCGGCAGTCTTCCCATCAGTTCTCACAGTCCTCTTTGCACAGGGGTACATTCAGGATCCTCTCTATGCCAGCTCAGGTTCACCTCCTGGGTCCAGGGCCCCAGGTTGGGGGAGCACTCATACAGGCAGGTGTCCTGGATGGAGTGGCGCTTGCAGGCGGGTTTCATCAGGCCGCAGTGGTCCCAGTTGAATTTGTACAGGTAGGAAACATCTTTATGGCTTCCTTGCTGTGTTGACAGAGCAGGCATTCTTCTTCCAGGGACTGCACTGCTCATGCAGCTTGTCCTCCGGGCTTGGCTTTTCCTTGTGCTGCTTGGCATCCATGCAGACATTGAGAAGCTCAGTCCTGGGCCCGGCTGCCCATCCTTCAGCCCACCACACCAGAAGGAGCCACAGCTGTGTTGTCATCATTCGAGCCATGTCAGACCCTGAAGGAAGAGCTGTAGTCAGTGACTTATAGAGATTATTATACTGAGTGAAATAAGCCAGTCATAGAAAGACAAATACCATATGATCTCACTTATATATGGAATCTAATGAACAAAATAAACTGATGAACAAATTAGAAACAGAGGCATGGATACATGGAACAGACTGACAGCTGTGAGGAGGGGAGGAGGAACTAGATGAAAGAAGGTGAAGGGATTAGCCAAAGAGCTTATATGCATAACCCATAGACACAGACAACAGTGTGGTGATGGCCATAGGAAAGGGGATGCGGGGTCTGGGTGGATGTGGGCAAAGGGCAGGTGGGGGCAGGGTGGAGAAGGGGACATCTGTAATAGTGTCAACAACTTTTAAAAAGTATATGTTAAAATCAAACATTGAAAATTTATCCAATAAAAATAGTAAGTTAGCAAAAGAGTAATGTAGCAAATTCAAAGTAGAAAGCAGGGAAATAATGATCACAAAAACATAAATGAAATGTAATAGTAGAGAGAATCACCAAAACCAAAGTTTGTTTCTGGAACATAGTAATAAATCAACCTCTAGATCAGGGGTGGGCAAACCCACAATGGGTTCTTAAACTGGACCGGAGGGCCGGAACAAAAGCATGGATGGAGTGTTTGTGTGAACTAATATAAATTCAAAGTAAACATCATTACATAAAAGGGTACGGTCTTTTTTTTTTTTTTTTAGTTTTATTCATTTCAAACGGGCCGGATCCGGCCCGCAGGCCGTAGTTTGCCCACGGCTGCTCTAGGAAGACTGATACATTTAAAAAGTTTACAAAAAATAACATTAGAGTATTTAAAGTAAATTTAATTGCAGATCCAGGAATTAAATCAGAGTGGTGGATGGGTAGGTGTTTATTATATCAGGCTCCAGTCTTCTTTTTGTTAGAAATATTTCACAGTTAAAAATAGCAAAACCTTTCTTTAGGTATTGTGCCTTAGTCCAGGCATTGCCTGTTGCCTGTCCTCTAGCTTTAACAGGTACCAGCTCGCTCCAATTCTTAAGCATCTAGCTCCACGTGACTCATGCATTCCTGATTTGTACATGCTTGGTAGGAAGTTGAAGCAGTAGCAGGTAAACTATGAAATCAACAGAATAAATGCCTCTGGGAGAGGTTAGGGAAAACAAGACTCCTGTCCACGAATGGTCAAAAAGATGGGTGAAGATGGACAAAGCTAGTCACTGGCCCCAGGGATAGCTTCGATGAGAGGCACAGTCTTTCTTGAGTCCTCTCATCCCCAAGCCTCTCAAGATTCTCCAATTGCCTTTCCTTATCTGGTTGATATTATTGTTCATCCCTTTTGCAGTTCCAAAGCTTCAGAATATGTGTGTAAAATTAAAGGTGCACTCTCTGGCTTCATCTGAGATGCAGGCATACTTTTTGCATGAATGTGGACTCAATGTATAGTTTTTACTATTCAATTTTAAATGACTGACTTCCTCTCTCAAGCTTCCTTCGATTTGAATAGTGTTCTATTCAATACATTCAAAGCATTTTTAAAAAGTTTATTGGCTATGATTCTTAAGTCTGATAAGCACACTATTCTAAAGTTTATATTGTGAGGAAAATTATGATGTCATCAGTTTCTTTTTTCTTTAATATTTCCCTTTCTTCCCTCATAAAATAAATGACCTAATTTTCTTATGTCCTAGAGTATTGTTCCTCTTCTTTTTTAAAAGGAGCCTTTGTTTTATTATTTTAGTTGGTTATGAGGTCTGTAATTTTCCGTAGGATAACACTTTTGGTTATGCTGTGTGACCATTCAGATCACATGTGGGGAACATTTTTCCTGCCAAGGGCCATTGGAATATCATTCACAGGCCATACAAAATCATCCACTTAAAAATTAGCCTGCTATCTTTGGTCATACATTTAATTAACTCACCCCTAATGCCTAATGATTTTGTGGGCCTTATATGGCCCTTGGGCCAGACGTTCCCCACCACTATATGGATTAACAGTTTTTCCTCACACGGTATGGGCTCTGGGAGTTAGTAGTGTAGTGTCTCAGCAATGATCAGGTACAGGTACATGTGGAGAAGGTGCTATTGTTTCCTTGAAACACTGGGAGCATCATGGATAATCTAAAAGAATGTGTCTGTCATTACTATCTGGTGACTGAGTGGCAAACTAGAGAGAGTAAGTCCCCTGAGGGAAGGTGACCAAATGTCTGATCACTGCTCTCATCTCTCGGATTCCGTTAGGAAAACTGTGAGTTTACCACGTACGTTACTATAGATTGAACACTATTGCTGCAATAACTTATTCTTTTACAATAAGACAATGTGCTCTTTCATATTCCCAGTGTTTGTACCACTCATCCATGTTAATTTCCTTCAGCAATAATTTAGTCCAGCTAAAATGTATATGAAGTAAAAGCCCAATATGATTTGGTTCTTAATATTTAAATAACAAAATACTAAATAACAACAAAATAGCTGTTGAAGGGCCAATCAGAAAGGATATATGCACCCCTATGTTCATAGCAGCACAATTCACCATAGCTAAGGTTTGGAAACAGCCTAAGTGCCCATCAGCAGATGAGTGGATTAGAAAACTGTGGTACATATACACAATGGAATACTATGCTGTGGTTAAAAAAAACGGCTAAAAGAGTACATTACCACCAAGCCAGCATTAAGAATTGCTAAAGGGACTGCTATAATAATAAGAAATAGGGACGGGGGGAGGTTGGGGGTTAATGGGGAGGAAGAGGACACATTTGTAATACCTTAACTAATTAAAAAAAAATAGCTGTTGAAGGTATTTTCCCTAGAGAATTACACAAGAAACCTTTGAGGTAGTAAGCTCAGATAATACAGTCACTTTCTACAGATGAAGACATTGAATTTGAAAGGTTCCGTATAGATAGGGCTGCATAGTTGTATAGATAGGCCTGCATAGACTTCCTCGGGTGGTGATGCTCACTTGGGATTCCAAATATGGCCTCTCTACTTGCAGTACAAACACTTCTACTATGGATGCTAAGTACATAAATGTTACTACAAGCGTGCAGTTATGTGACTAAAAGTAGGAAATAATTAAAATAATTATACTTCATATTTTTTCTTTGTGAATTCAGTACTATGCTTAAGTGAGAAAGTTGTCATTTCCTTATCTCTTCCCACAGTATTTGCTAACATTTATCACATCTGTCAGTGTTCTTATGGTACTGAACTTGATAAAGAACATAATCTAAAAAAAAAAAAAATTTTTAAAGGCAAGCCAAAAATTATCTCAGAACCTGAAGGATGTAAATCTGTGGTCTATGTTTACTTCATTAATGAGGCGATTCTCCAGTATGCATTTTAGATTGTACGGACCCGACCTTAGGCCATGTTACTAAATATCTGGGAACCATTCCACTGGAGGACTTGAACGAATTGACTCCTAGTCACCACCTGCCTTAGCTTCAGGCTAGAGCAGTGATTTTTTCAACCTTTCTCATCTCATGGCACACACAAACTAATTACTAAAATTCTGCAGCACACCAAAATATATATATATGTATATATATTGCCAATCTGATAAAAAAAAGGTATAATTTTGATTCATTCACACTGGATGGCTATTGTTGTGTTGGCTGATGTCATTTTTTAAAATTTGACAGTCTAAGGGCAAAGAGGTCAGTTCCCTTGACTAAATAGTCAGGTATTGCGTGTTTTAAAAATTCTTGGGGCACACAGGTTGAAAATCGCTGGTCTAGAGACTTGAATTACTCTATTGCAGAGGATAAGGAGTTTTGGCTACTTTGGTTTTTATGTGCCTTCAGTAGACAGTGAGGCCAGCATCTCCTGCCTCAATTTTCAAAGAATGTGACCTGATAAAGCATCCCTCATTAGATGCCTCTGTAGCCTCTTCTATAACAGTTCTCTGGGATAAGGTCAGTGTAATTTACAATTGGATGTCAGGAGACATTTTGAAACAAAAATTCATATATAAATGTATAGATTTTTTTTTCTTATTTAAGATTCCCTCAGTTGTCAGTCATTTTACCTACTTTTCTCACCTGTTAAATGGACATAACATTTTATGGCAGCTGATGAGAATTATTTGAGAAAGGTTTAGGATTCAGAGATGCTTTCTTGGCTGAAAGTTATTTTTTTAACACCACTAAAGTCTTTGAATCTGAGCTGCCTTCACTAAGCTTTCTATATACCTAAGCTTTGTTATAAAATACTTACCTGCCAAAGGTAAATATTTTCTTTTCTGATTGCTTTGTGGTGTTTGTTTTTGTTTTTTTTTTTCTCCAAGTGGGCTTTTCCAAAGTTAATATATCTGCAAAGAGACATATGCTTTAGGTCTGTACTTGTTAATTTACCTTGGAAAAGATTAGGTCATCTTCAAATCTGGCAATGTGGCTTATAAACTTGGCAAAATGGACTAATTAAAAGCTTTCCATAGATTTATAACAAAGAAATGATTACTATCGGTAGTGTTTTCATTTTTACGGTTTGTGTATATATATAGGTATATGTCACTTCTCATGTTGCATTTAAAGTATGTTGACTGTCTGCTAACAGTTCATCTCCTTTCTTCTACAGCCTCCAAGTCTGTTATAAATAGTCTGCTACGGGACCCTTCTCAGATTCCAGATGGAGTTCTAGCAAATCAGGTCTATCAGGTATTAATCACAGCTGTCTATTTTCAGTGGCAATGCTGTTATCTGCCTAGCAGAGTAAAGGATTTTAAACCTCATTTAATTACTGTCATCATAAACTATCACTGAGGTCAGGGTGCACCGTAATGGCAATGCAATATTTGTGAGAAGAGCATTTCACTTTTTAATAGCTTGCTTTTATAGTGAATAAAAGGCATGCAATTTTTGTTTTCTGTGATTAAATCTGCACAGCCTTTTAATAGCGTTTTTTTGTGTTGTTGTTGTGTGTTTTTTTAATTCAAGGATGCCGCTTTTAGTATACTGTTTAACTGTAATAGTTTTTGTAGTCGCCCCACCCCAGACCCCTTCTCTTATTTGTCTGCAGTGCATTGTGAACGACTGCTGTTATGGACCGCTGGTGGACTGCATCAAACAGTATCCTTGCCCATAAAATTTTAGGTGCACAATTGACGAGCTTAGACTCAGCGGAGGAGACGTGTCTAGCTTTAACATGACATAAAGTTCTGCTTCACAAAACACATATCATACTCTTCTATTTTACATTCAATCAACTGGAGGGTCACTGCAGACCATTCTTTTCCACAGCATAAGAAAAGCCAGATCGGCCCCGGGAAGATGTCAGTTCAGCAGCTGCACCTTCACATGCTTATTGCCAACTGCTTGGTTATCAATGAGTTTAAAGGTACAGATTCATTAGGCAGGTAGCATACTGGCTTGGAATGTATCTAACCATCCCAATGAACATATTTTAAAAATAGAACAAATTTCTATTTAAAATGAGCCAAATTCAGTTGAGTTTGCTAGAATAAATTTTGCCTGAAGTTAAAGGATGATGTGATTTAAAATGTCGCCAGAGACCATCACATTTTAAAGGGCAGTAGACTCTCATTGCTTAAATGCCGATTAAAATCTGAGCTGTCACTTGGATCCCTAATAAACAGTTTTAGAGAAACGCGGCTAATTTTTCTCTTTGGACTGGATTTAAGGCTAAGCAAACATGCCCAGTCTTCATTAAAGACTTTGGGATTGCTAAAGAGTTAATGCTTACTTCTTAGAACAGGATTTGAGTGGACAGTAGTGACTTCATGACATAGGACATTATTCAGCAATACATTTAGTAGTATTGTGGCAACACTAAGAATTTTAATGTAATCATTGGCTAACAATGCTACTTAAAGAGTAAATAATGGGTAATTTTCTAAATGAAAATTGTATCTATCTGAGCCCATGAGTCTCACATTTCTTTTTCTTTTTTAATATATTTTTATTGATTTCAGAGAGAGAGGGAGAGAGAGATAGAAACGTTAATGATGAGAGAGAATCATTGATCAGCCGCCTCCTACACAGCCCCTACTGGGGATTGATCCCACAACCTGGGCAGGTGCCCTTGACCAGAATTGAACCCAGGACCCTTCAGTCCACAGTCTGATGCTCTATCCACTGAGCCAAAACAGCTGGTCTCTCACATTTCTTATAGTAGAACACACCCTTCCTTATATAGGCTTTTTGTTGTTTTTTATAGCCCTCGCTAGTCAAGTGTGTATGTACATGCACATGCATGTTTGTATTCCACCTTGATTCATAAAGGCTGAGAATCAGTAAAAAAAAAAAATTTAAATCACGCATTTACTTTTTCATAAAGGTTAATTTTAAAAATAATATTTTTCCATTTTTATTTATTGATTCTTAGAAAGAGGGAGAGAAAGAAACATCAATTTATTGTTCCTCTTATTTATGCATTCTTTGGTTGATTCTTGTATGTGTCCTCACAGGGATTGAACCCACAACCTAGGTGTATGGGGACGATGCTCTCACCAATTGAGCTACCCAGCCAGGGCTTAAAAATAATCTGCAAGAATATTCAGTATCTATGTCATAGCCCTTGATATATGTATTCTCCAAGTCTGTTCCTCCCAACCTAACTTAATAGAATCACAGCATTGTCATAAGCTTACCTTTTTATTAGACCAAAGTAAAATGATACTTCTATCTGCAGTGTAAAATTAATGGTAGTTAGAAGTTGTAGGAATGCCAACCTCAAGTTGCTATAGTGATCAAGTTTACCACATTCGTGTAACAACTAACACCATCTCAGAGTATCTGGGGCGGAATTACATGTTAATTTTCAAGCACATAAAATAGTTAAAAATCAATTTAAAGTTAAGGTTTTAAAAGCATAATGTCTTTTGAAGGATTGCATATTGATTTTAAATATAACTATCTAATTATATATGCATGGACTAAAGTATGAAGTCAACTGCTTTGTAAATGCCAGGAGGCTATTTTTCAGTAATAGTTGAGATGCTTACGGGAAACTAGATTGCTGTATTGCTGGCGAAGAAAATGGCTTGTGAGGTTATTTACAAGTTTTGCCCCATGGTCACTGCCATACATCAATAATAGGTATCATAGACGAAGTCTAAGTGTTTCTGCTTATGGAACATTATAAATTCCGTTTGGAGTATTTTCCTTATATTTTTGCCATCATTCACTTTCCATTTTTCACTGTGTAGAATTTAATATAGACAAGATTTCAATTGATAAAGATAATGATGTACCGTATTTGCCGGCGTATAAGACGACTGGGCGTATAAGACGACCCCCTAACATTTCCACTCAAAATACAGAGTTTGTTATATACTCGCCGTATAAGACTACCCCCTCTTCCGCACACCTTCCACACACCAAATAAAAGGTAAAACAATATCAGATTTGATTTTAACATTTTAATTTATATTCAAATGGTTATGACATGCAGGAAAACTGTCACAAGGCTGTATGTAATCAAACATATACATAAAACAGTGCAAGTTTATTACCGGTAAACATACCGGTAATTCACTAAAGAAAACACACTCTATAGACTGGTACCGTAGATGCTTCTCAGGAACACAGGCAAGCAGCCCACAACCTAGAGGGACTGTCAATGATAGAAGATCACTATATCAGTCTTGTCCACCCTTGCATCAGCATCTCCCTGGGACCCTCACTAGTGTGCAAGTGCGAGCTCTTCAACATTCTAACAGGCACCATGATAGCGCAAAATCGTGAATCTTCAATGCATATGTAAAGAAATATACGGTAACCCGAATTTACCACACTCGCAAAATCGCACACAGCCAACCATACACCCAGTATGGTATCGCGATTCGCGATTTTGCGCTATCATACTGGGTGTATGGTCGGCTGTGTGCGATTTTGCGAGTGTGGTAAAATCGCATAACAGCAAAATCGCATAACAGCCGAGCATACACCCAGCAGCGCTGCTGATGCCTGAACGGTATGTGGAATAAAGTGGGCGGGCATCGGGAGGCCACTATGGCACGGGGCAAACACTATGGGCAGTCTATCTGAAGTGTACCTGGCGTATAAGACGACCCCCCACTTGGAGGCATATTTTTCAGGGCCAAAAAATCGTCTTATACGCCGGCAAATACGGTATGTCTATAAATTGCATTGACTGACTAGATTATAATTTGGCAGTTCCATTATTATGCCTATTGACAGAAAAATTACTGTTTTTACAAGCTTTATTTTCTAGACCTTATATTTTATATATATATCCAAGCAAAGCAGAACCAAGAAGCGTGTTTTTCCAAAATTTAAAATTGGTGATTGCTTTTACCGTGCAAAATAAAATAGGCTGGGAAGTTTATAGAGAACTGATTTTATCTTTGCATTGAGGTAGTAGCAGTTTTATATAATGTAAATATACTTGAATAGCCATTGCCTAGACCCGTGGTCGGCAAACTGCAGCTCGCAAGCCAAATGCGGCTCTTTGACACCTTGAGTGTGGCTCTTCCTAAGCCTTAGGAGTACCCTAATTAAGTTAATAACAATATACCTATCTATATAGTTTAAGTTTAAAAAGTTTGGCTCTTAAAAGAAATTTCATTCGTTGTACTGTTGATATTTGGCTCTGTTGACTAATGAGTTTGCCGACCACTGGCCTAGACTGATCAACAGGAGTTATTTTATTTCATGCTGAATAAAATTACTAGTTTTCCATGTGAGTGAAAATGCTATTTGTAAGTTGTTTTGATAATTTGGTAATGCTTACATCACTTACTCTCAGTAAATTACATCATTTTGTAAGAAAGAAAGCATATACCAGTATGTAGCAAATTGAATAGATACAAAACTTTTTTACCCCATTATAAAAATGTTACATGTAGACCTTTGTGTAAGTAGAATAAAATAAGTTGGTCATTTACTAGTAAGACACCAGGAAAGTATAGTAGCAAAGAGAATATAAATTGTCATTGTGTTTTCTTTTTCTTTCTGTGTCCACTATTTCTTTTTTCCTCCATAGCCATGCTCACCCACACCTTTCCTGCCACAGTTCATATTCACTGACACAACAGGTGTGAGAAACCAGCCACCTCAACTTTCCAAAGTGTGACTTCAGGACACAGCTATTAGACAAAGACCTAAGCAGAGAAGCAAAGAAACATAATAATGCAGGAAGCTTAAAATGCTGTGGGTTTCATTTCTGTACCATCAGTAACCTCAGTTTCATGATTCAACATTTTAGATGTAAATAATTTACAACAATAAAAGTGAGAGCACATTTATGTGGTATAGGAGTAAATAATTTAGTTCTAAGATGTGGTACGCCCCTAGTAATGAGAAATCATTGAGAGGTATTCATCAGATGTCTTCAATGGACTCTGCATATGTGTGAAATTTTGTGATTTAAAAATGTGTTTCCTTTATTTTATTTCCATTAAAATTTTAAATAAACATAGCCATGTGCATTAGAGTGGGGAGGGGGAACAACAGAAGGAAAAAGCAGTGATGACTTCAGACTCATTTTGACAGTTGACATGAGTAGCCACATCTCTGAAATTCTAAATGCTATTCATCAGTGTGAGTTGATAAAGGATAGGATAATTTTCTAAGAATATTTTTACAAAAAATGTATGAGATTTATTCATTTCAAATTGAATTATTGCAGGGCATGATCAGAACTAAACAGTTCCTGGGTATCTGAGGAGGATAGGATCAGGTTGACATTATCAGTGAAATGGAGAATTAGATAATTATGACCAAATGCTTTTGACAGTAATTAAAGTACCAGTCTAGGACAACACTCCTTTTCAGAGTTTTCAAATCCCATCTTTTGGAAAATACACCAGAATTTCAATCCCCTTTTCTGTTTTTATTATTTACCAGCTATGGGGCCTTCAGCAAGTTCCTTGGCCTTCCTGAACCTTGCTTTCCTTAACTGTAAAAATGGGGCTACCTACTTAAGTGATTGTTGTGAAGATTAAATGACAGCACCCCAAAGTGTTCATAGCATAAAGAGTTAGCATGTAGTATTTAAGAAATATTAGCTAATGATAAAAAAAAGAAATATTAGCTAGTATCAATTATCCTATATAATAAAAGGCTAATATGCAAATTGACTGAACAGCGGAATGACTGGTCGCTATGACATGCACTGACCCCCCGGGGCAGATGCTCAATGCAGGGTGGTCAGTGCACTCCCACAGGGGGAGCACCACTCAGTCAGAAGCTGAGCCTCTCCCACCTCTGCAGCAGCGCTAAGGATGTCCAACTGCCATCAGTCAGACATCCCCCAAGGGCTCCCAGATTGTGAGAGGGCACAGGCCCGGCTAAGTGACCCTACCCCCAAGTGCACGAATATCGTGCACTGCGCCTCTAGTTTTACATAATTCATTTTTATTCTTTTTTAAGAAGCTGTATGGAATTTATAAATGCAGGATTTGCACAAATTTTATCCTGAACCTCTGCTTTGCCACACATTAAGTGTATGATCTTGTGCAGAATCCTTTCTAAATCTCAGTTTCCTCATCAATAAAATAAGGATAATGATAACTGTAAGGATGAAATAACATATAAGAAATAACATAACTGTAAGGATGAAATAACATATATGAAGCCTTTAGCAGAGTGCCTGCCTCAGAGTAAGCACTCAAAAAAAGTATATGTGTGTATCTATCTATATGCATATTATAATATGTGTACACTTGTACACACAGGAGGAAAAGACTTGAACCAGTCTCTGTATACACACACTAACCTACGGTCATTTACTAAGATATCTTTCTTTCACATTATATGTAACTCACAGCAAGTCAGTTGTTTGGCTTCCCAAGTCCCAGAAGCTCACCAACAGTGACTGGAGGTAAAACAGGAGCTGTAAACGCTGGCTCCGTGGTAAGTGTGACTTCACAGAAGACGGGGAACTCTGTAAGACCAGCAGCTCTTTCAGCACAAAGGCTTGTTGGCCTTCTTTACTGAGCTGAGTCAGTGCGTAATAAATGTGTGCTGAATTGAATTGAGAGATGTTTAACATAGCCTAAAGGATGCTTAAAATGACCATCCTCTTTTCAAAAGAAGATAAACTACATATACATCCATTTACAAATATTTATTTGCCAAAATGCATATAAACATTATAGAAAAATTCCATTGAATCATTTAAAATGAGGGGAGGTGGCCCAGCCAGAGTGGCTCAATTGTTGAGCATCGACCTATGAACCAGAAGGTCACAGTTCAATTCCCGGTCAGGGCACATGCCCGGGTTGGTGGCTTGATCCCCAGTTGTGGGCATGCATGAGGCAGCCAATCAATGATTCTCTCTCATCACTGATGTTATTATCTCTCTCCTTCTCTCTTCCTCTCTGAAATCAATAAAAATATATTGAAAAATAAAATAAAATGAGGGGAGGTAGATAGAAATCTCAGGGAGTTAGGCTAAAGGTAGAAATAATGGCTCAAATTATATCTTATGTTTCTTTTCATCTCAAAGGATAGCCCTGGTGTTAGTGTTTTTCTGATAGCATCTTTTCATAATTCTGTGTGTGTCGCCCTCCTTAACTCAAACGTCCCAGTGCTATTGGCCATGAGCACGAAATCCTGCTGAGAGACTTGCTTCTAGAGAAGAACTTGTCCTTCCTAGGTAAGTATTGCTTACATCCTGTGTAGCTCGTAACAGCTCCAGGAGTGCTTAAATATATACTTTTAAAATCTTCCCCTTGCACTTATTATGTACTAAAGGAAGAGTGAACGATGATTGATGCTCTACATGTTATCTTTTATTGATTTAGAACTGAGCAGGAATCTAGTTACCTAATCCCCCATATATACAGCACATGCACAGGCTTGCAATTAATATTTTATAGAATAAGTGGCTGAAAAAAATGCTTTAATATCTGATACAGTATTACTTTTGGTGTCATGAGATATTAACCATAATCTAGGCTTTATGAGAGAAGGAAGCAAAAGAAATATTGTCTATAAAATGCTTTATATATTAAAAAGGATGGTTAGAAAAATTCCTGTTAGGTATGTTTGTCTGGTGTACGGGATCGGGTAGTACTTTTCCTTGAAAGCCAGATATTAAGCTTTTATTACTTTTATGTCAAACATTAACTGTCATCATAGATTTAGTGTGATTTTAAAAATCTCACATGTATGCATGTGTTTGTGTGCCAGTGTGGAATCTTATTACAGACTGTTATTTCTTTCAGTATCTCTGAAGCATTAGAAATTAAGCCTCAAAGGGCATGCATGTGATAACTGTGGAAACCATAAAGCACTCTACAATGAATGAATTCCTCTTTTCCATGTTAGATGTGGTAATTTGTAAAGGTTCCATATAAATCGTATTATTGTACACATCTGTTTTATGTAGATATTGAAGAGTCTACCTAGTGTGATTTTTTTAGGTTAAAAAATAAAAGAATATTGAATTACATAATTTTTGTTTGAAAATGGACAGAGAATTGGCCAAAGAAAGTCGAATGAATGGTTTTACATCAAGTTGGAGAGGGATATTGACTACAGCCCTGCAAGAAATCTGGTTTAAGGCTTAGTGTTCAGCATTTTTATTAATGAACTGGAAAATGGAGTTGAATGTGTCATAAGATTGTTGGTAACTTGGAGGTGGGAGATACAAATATTCTCTAGCTAGTGTTAAAGAAAGTTGATAAATTAGGAAAGTGGCCTAAAATTACTGAATTAAATTTCCGTATGTAAAAGCAGCAAGTTTTTTTCATATAGAAGGACAATTGAAATGTTCAGCCTATGGAAAAAGGGTAAATTAGATAGAAATTGCCTTTTAAGATTTAATAAATAATAGAATGTATAATGGATCGTAACCAGTTGTGATAGATGACTCCTGAGGCACCATGAGATATGTTTTAGAACCATGGAGTTCTCGTAGTGTTATGAAATATCAGATCACATCGATCACTCAGTGGCCAATATAGCATGGCCAAATCTATTTCATTGTTTCAATCCACCAACTCAGCAGTCATAGTTTCAGGACTGCTTGGTGTTACTCTCTTGGCACCATCTGCTTATGTGTAGTCAGGCCCTCAGCACCATTTCTTTGCTTAGCCTAGCTTTTCTCTGCTTTCTTCCTGAAGATGGAAGACCAATAGCTTAAATGTGGTCTAGTCCCGGGTTTTCAACTCCCTTGATTCTGGGAACTGAGTGTGTTAGACGAGCTTCGCCACGGCTGACAAAGGCAATGCAGAAACATAGCCAGGAGTCATTACCACTCACAGACAAGTTCAGAAAGGGGATTTAAAATTGATGGGTCCCATCTATTCCTCTGTCCTATAGCATCTGGAGGTAATTATTTTATTGAAGCATACCCACAGATGATAGTTAACTGATCTTTAAAAATAAATGAGTTATAGGATGTTTAGCTGACTCCATGAAACCTCAGTCCTGCTTTGAAGCATTTCCTCATCAGCATACAAAGAAGTTGTTAATTTATTCTATGCCTTTTAAGGGTTTTAATGTAGTACTGAATTAATACATGTTTACATATGATTAAAACATCAGAATTCAGAGCCTTGTATGAAATATGGTTATGGGGTTTTTCTTTTACCCCTTCACTATGATTAATTAGATCTGAAGTACTATGCCAGGTAAATTTAGATAGATCATCATTTTAAATCCAACTATGGGAAAATATTGGTATATAAATAGACCACTAATCTGAGCGTATGTTTTCTTTGTTTACATGTGTACTTACACCTTGAATTTTGTTGCAGAGACATTACAAACCTGTTTGTTTTACTTTGACTCTTTTATAAGCAAAATTGCAATCTCTGTCTTCCTCCCTTGCATCCTTCCTCCCTTCCCCCTCCCTCTCTCAGGGTTTCTAATCTGGACTACTTTAGAAAGGCAAGGATTCTTACTGTTTATACGTAACCCTTCTTAAGAATTGTGACCTCCTTGAAATTTTTTTATCTCATTTAAATGTTTCACCTATTGTGCTCTGTATGTCATTTTATAAAATAAATATTTTATCTGACCTCTTTTATCAATAGAAAATAAAAATAAAAATAAATTACCTTTATCTTAATCCTCATCATTTCTTAAATTTCCTTGATTCATAACCATATACTAAGCAGTTGCTATAGTAAAAGATTTAACCAGGCAATACTGGAAAGAGAGTTCTTTTCTTTGATGATTTGAGTGTACTCATTGGGATTTATCCTATCTTGTAAATTTGTTAATTTTGTACAACTAAAAATAGGTATATTGTATTAAGAGAAGTCACAGTTGAATAAAGGACTTTAGTTTCTCCAACTAAAGTTTATACTCATATATTCATTCATTCCAAAAAATAAGATTGGGAGTTAAGTACTATTTTAGACACTAGACAGAAGCCCCGTGAAGTCCTCACATTTGTGGAGTTATGGTCTCGTAGTGAGATAAGCTACAAACAAGTGAATACAGATAACTCCTAGCAGCAGGAACAGTTTCCATGCAGATGTCAGCAGTAATTATTATAGAGGCTAAAGAGAACTGAGATGGTTGGGTATTTCATAAGGAATCAACTATTTAAATCCCTACCTACCAGAAGGTTAAAATCAGATGCCATTTTCAGAATAACAGGAATGTGACGCTGGGGTCGAGATGTGGGGAATTTAAGTGTATTCTTTCCTGCCTGAAGAAATTACCATGTGAGGGACCATCTTTGCTTACTCCCCCAATTAAATACACGTGTCTGCTTCTCCCTGGGCCAAGAGAAGAGAGCGGTAGACATGCTAGAAGGCAGCCTAGTCTCTGGAACTTTGAGGACAGGTTACCCCATCCACTCATGGGAGCCTTCCTCCTCTGGGCCCACAGCTCTTCCCTCCGTTCCTGTGGTTAGAAAACTCATGTCTGCTCATCATCTGCTTTCCTGGCCACTGATAATAAAGTGGACCTATTTAGGTTGTGAGTGACAGAAATCTGGTCAAACTGGATCAGACACACACAAAAGGAGAACACATAGCATCCCTGGGGAACCCAAAAGAGGGAACTTGGCTTCTTGTGTGTCTAGAGCACAGAGAAGCAATGTCATCAACATCTCTTTTCTCCCTCTCGTGTTCTGCTTTCCTCAGTGTGGGCTTCCATTTGCAGGCAGGAAAGCTGATCCTTGGCAGTTGCTAGTCTGCTGACTGCTTAGAATTTGTAATCCTGGAGAAAAGTTGGTGATTCTCTTTTGTCCCATTACAAATCTCAGGAAGGGTTCTGATCACCTAGTCTGGGTCTTGTCCACCCTGTGGCCAGTGCTGAGAGTCACGTGTTGACTACCAAAATCACAATGTGGGAGTAGGGTGGCAATGCCGGAAAAGATGGGGTACAGAACAGAAAAATCAAATATCTCACCCCATTACAGGTTCCAGCTTCTCTCCCTATAACCAAAAGGCACTGGGGTTCAAATCTGTAATTGTTATTATTGGATTGGATTCTTGGGCCTCTCTCTCTCTCTCTCTCTCTCTCTCTCTCTCTCTCTCTCTCTCTCTCTCTGTATGTGTGTGTGTGTCTGTGTAGGAGATCCTTTGTATTTTTCAGAACTGCAAATATGCCTTCCTCATCGTGATTGGTTCTGGAACAGATGGGGCTGGCCCTGACATCAGTGACTACAGTTAAAAGAACAGGCAGACACAGGCTAACACCCAGCCATTCCTCAGAATTTTGGAGTTGCAAAGGGCTCTAGTGACCATCCAGTCCCCCTGCTTTGTTTAGAGGAAACTGGCCCCAGGCTTTGCATCATAGCTAGCTCCCTCCCAACAGCTTGTCCCGTATTCTTTTACTCTACTGTGCTGGTGTATCCCTCCTTTTATGGCATTAAACCAAAAGAATTGAGAGTGATGTGGTATAAAATACAGACAGGTTCTACTCTGTCTTTATAGCCACCGGTTGGGGGTATCAGCCTACCCAGCCTTCCTTTGCACTGTCTCAGCTTCGTGACCTCCCATTTGTTTGCTATCTTTAGGGCACTTCAGTTTTCACTAGTATTGTCCCCTAAAGACATAAGCAAAGGACAAGGTCAGAGCAGTCAGTTGTATTGCTTATTAGTGGCTTTGATAAGAGGCTTTGGGGGAAGAGGTTGAAACTAATGGCTATAATGAAATTTTGGGTCCTCTAAAGATTTCATTTGTCTGTGCTATTGGTCTCCCCATTAAAAGCATATCTGTTCTGTGTACCTTTGCACATGGGCTGCATATCATAGCAACTTTTATTACTGAAACTTTACAAACCTCTTACATTGGGTAGAAAAGACCGAATATAAAAATATGGGATACAAAGATTATAGCACCAAGTATTGAATGAGACAGTGTTTTGGGGGGAAAAATAACACAGAAAAAAAATACTAGAATAGAAAAGATATACTATCGTTTTCTCTTTTTTATTTAAATTTATTCTGGTGACATTGGTCAGTATGATCATATAAGTTTCAGGTGTGGGTTTCTATGTTACAAGATCTATATATCACACCATGTACCCACCACCCAAAGTCAAATCCTCTGTCGCCATATATTAAGACCCCCTTCTCCCCCCATCCCTCTTCCCTCTAGCAACCACCACATGCTGTTTGTGTTCATGAGTTTCAGTTTTATATCCCACATATGAGTGAAATCATATGGTTCTTAGTTTTTTTCTGGCTGA